AAAAAACCAAATAAAAAGGCCAACCATTTCCTGGCCGGTACCTACCCCTGCCGCTTCTCCCAACAAATCGGAGGTCGTTAAATCTCGCTACTTGGTTTTTCATCACGGCGGAGGCGTTGCGCAGCTCCGCCGAGTAATTCTCGTCGTTCCCCGCCATCACCGTGACCACGGTCCCATCGGGGACATCTCCGAGAGCCACGACCTAAGGCAGGGCCAGAGCGTTTCAGGCTAAAATTAACCTTCATCCAAGCCAACCTGCGCTACGGTTCCCCCTCTGAACCCGCATAAAAAAACCCCAAAGCAAAACCAAAAGCAACCCGAGCCCCCGAGGAMGGCTGAGAAAATCGGAGGGGGAAGGGGAAAATGAGCTAAAAAGGGGTTAAAAGCAGAAAGGGGGTTCAGGGGAGGGGGCGCGGGGGGGTCAGGCCACTCTCGGCCCCGCTGGAGGAATTTGTGCGTTTATTTTGTTAGATTCGAGATTAAAATAAAGCGCTGCCGAGCGCGGGGCGGCMGCGAGCGAGGCCCCGGAGCTCCGCGCRCGGTTCGGGGAAGCGCCGGGACCGYGGAAAGGTCCCCAACCCTCCCGGAGAGCAGCGCCCGGAGCTCCCGGGGCGGTCGGGAACCCGGTTTAGAACCCCCTCACCCCGCCGGGCTCCGCTGCCGTCCTGCCCGGCTCCTCTCGCTTCTCCCCGGCTGCGTTTTGGCTTCCCCCGGCGGGTCCCGTTCCCCCGCGGGGGTAGCGGGGATGCCCAGCCCGGGGTGCCCAGCCCCGGGTGCCGCGGGCAGCCCGGGCAGCACCGCCCGCACCGGGGCTTCATCTCTTCGCTTGACTTTTTTGCAGATTAGATCTCCCTTGCCTGCCTCGCTCTCCCTCTCCCAGGAAGGTAATTAACCTCCATCTCATTAAACTTCAAAGTTGCCTGAGAGCTCCTAACTGTACGGAATATCTAAGATGCCGTGACCGCGGGGCAATGCGGAGACTTGATTAAAAATAATAAACTGGGCTATTTGATTAAAAATAATAACCCGGGCTCCCTCGGCGCTGATGTCAGGAGCGATTTAACGCAGGAGGAGGGGAAAAGGCGAGCGGGTCGCAAGCACCGGAGCCCCGCGGGTCGCAAGCTCCCGGTCCCCGGGAGCCGTCGGGGCTCGGGACTCACCTTGAAGGCCACGGGCAGCGTCTTGTTGCACCTCCAGTGTGACGGCAGCACCGAGCACAAGAARTTGGGGCTGTCGGTGCGCACCAGCTCGCCGGCGTGGTCGGCCAGGACATCCACGACGGAGCGCACCTCGGGCCGAGCGCGGGCGCCCGGMGCGGGGGCCCCCAGCGCCCCGCTGTTCTCGCCCATCTTACCGCAGGGGAAGGCCGTGGACGGGGGAGTGAAGCGCCTGCTGGTGCTCGGGTCTACGGGAATACGCATCACAACGGCGGGCGTCAGGGAGCCGGGAGGGACGGGCGGGCTCCCGGCGGGGCTCGGCGGCGGCGGGCGGCGGGGACAGCGGCGGCCGAGCCCCGCGCTGCCTCGCTCCGTGCCGGCGGAGCGCCGTCCTCGGCGGGGCGGAGCGGGGGATCGGATCCCGCGGGGCTCCGGGGCTCTCCGCCGGTGGGTGCGCTGCTTTCCGTGCCGAGCCCCGCTGCCGGTGCCGCTGCCCTGTGCCGATCCCCGCTACCGGCCCCGCCGCACCGCCCGGTACCGTATTTACTGCCGGCCCCGGGGGAGCGGCGCGGCCGTGACGGACGGGTCCCTCCGCCAATAGAAACTCCTCGGAGGGTTCTGGCACCGCCCACCGCCGGCKGAGAGGGCGTGGTCAGCGCCGAAAGAGGCGTGGTTTTGTCGAAAGAGGCGTGGTCTCGGCAGGGCGCGCCCCGCGGAGGGCGCACGTCGGGGCTCCGGTGGCTTCTGGCCGCCGCCGCCGCCGCCGGGGGAGGTTTTGGGGTGCGGTGGGGCCGGTTTGGGGCCGGAGCCGCGGCCGTGCGGCTGAGGATAAACGCGTTCCCCGCCCCCGAGGGCTCCCGCAGCCGCCGCCGCCGCCCGCGCCCTCCCCGCGGCGGTGTGACCGTGGTGGCGCGGCGGGAGCGGTGGCCGCGGGGACCACCGGCACTCGGAATGGGCGATTCGCCTCTCGACCTGCGCTGAAAACCGCGGTTCCCAAACCTCCGCCTTCCGCCCTCCCCAAAATCGCCAGCCGCCTCATCGCGGGCGTTCTCGGTGCGCCCGCAGCCCCCGGCGGCCCCGGCAGCTCCCCCGGGGCTGCGGCTGCGGGCAGGGCCGGCGGCTCCGGCCGGAATCGTTGGCGAGAAAATTCGTGGCCAAGCCACCGGTTCTGCGGGAACAAACACAACGGAGGAGGAGGCTCCCTGCGCTCCGCGGGTGCCCGAACCGCGGGGCCGGCGGGGACACAACCGGGAGAGAACCGGGGCAGAACCGGGGGAGAACCGGGGGCAGAACCGGGGGACAGAACCGGGGGAGAACCGAGAACAGAACCGGGGCAGGACCGCGGGAGAACCGGGGGGGCAGAACCGGGCAGGAGGAGGACGCTGCTGTGCCTGCGCTTCTCCCCGGCCGCTCCGCCGGTGTTTGCAGACCGGCACTGCCCGTCCGTYCCCGGCTCCGCTCTGCCCGGTGCGAAACGCACATTTCCTCACAAAAAAAAATCAAAATAAAGCCCAACACCAGAAAATGCTTTTTTTTCCTGAGCTCCGTTCAGTCCATAAAAACCATTTTCCCCCGCAAGCCGCGGTGCCTCGAGGGGCGAGCCCGGGCCGGGCTCCGCAAGCCCCAGAAAGCCGCGGTGTTTCTCCAGAAGGAAAATAACAACAACAATAACAATAAATACATATTTGTTTAAAACGAGGGGCGGCGGATCCCGCTCCGCAGCGCCCGTTACACCGCAGCAATCGCCGGGATCCGCRCCCGGCTCCGGGGCCGTCGAGCCGCCGCCCGGAGCAGCCCCGCGGGTCGGGCCGGCCCCCGCCGCTACCGGTGCTCAAAGCGTGCCCTTTTTAGGTGAAAGCGTTAGCCGGCTCAGTTCTCCTTCTCGCTCCCCGTTCGCCGGCGGGGGGAACCCGCACAAACCCCGGGGCGGGGGCAGAGCTTCGGGCGGGGTTTGGCGGGGGTCGGGAACGCCCGGTGCCGGTGCTCCCCGGTACTACCGGGTGGGCACGGAGGGGTGAACGGGGGGGATGCAGGGCCGGGCCGGGCTGCAGTTCCGAAGCGCGGCCGCTGGTTGGCACCGGGGCTCCGCCGGGGCGGGACGGGACGGGACGGGACGGGGATGGGATGGACGGGATGGGATGGACGGGATGGGATGGACGGGACAGGATGGGATGGGATCGTGACACCCCCCGGGATGTTGATTCCCCCCCCGGTTGCTGACACCCCCGACCATCCCGCGATTTGACCCCTCCCTCCCCGGTGCTTCTCTCGCCCCTTCCCGCAGCCGAACTGACCCCGGGGTTACCCCGCCTCGGGCTGTGTCCCTGCCGGACTCAGGTTCCTCCCTGCGCCAGGACCGCCCTCAGTGATTTATCCACCCAGCCCTGCCATCCGCAGGTTCTCGAATCCCTTTTTGTGCCGGGAGGATCCTGTTGGAGCGGACACTGAATGTATCATCTGGATTTTTCTAAACACCCCCAGGTACCTCCCCGAGCCCCTCAGGGCTGCGGTCCCAGGGGTGCTCGGTTCCTCCTCCCTTCCCCAAATCCTCGCTCTCCACCCTGACCTGTCCTCACCTCAGGATGTTGGGGACAAAATGAGCCCCAAAACACGGAGCTGTGACAAAACCCACAACCCCAAAACTGCCTGGAAACCTCCCGAGGCGCAGACCCCGGCAAAGCAACCCCTGCAGGAGGTGTYCAGCCAAGAAAAAACCACCCCAGAGCTCCGGGGACCCACGGGACTGTGCCCGGCGAGTTTTCATTTGAATTCTCTTCCATCACAGCGGGATCAGGAGCCTCAAACAGGCGGCAGAGCTCCCGCCGCTCTGCTCTCCGCAAAGCGGGAGATGTCGACACGTGGGGATTATCCCTCCCGGAGCTCCCGAGGAGGTTAATAGAGCATCAGCCCCGGGATTTGCGCGGGCCTCTTTACAAACACTCGAAAGCTACTGTTCGCATCGCGGGGAGGTCAGCGGCTCTTTAAATCATCCCTCGCTGGGATTACTTCCCTCACAGGCTCCTCTGGAGTTTTTAATTCATTTGAGCTGCTCTTTTAGCGGCAGAGCCGCTCTGTTCGGCGGCGGAGCAGCGAGAGCAGAGGCTCATAGGAAGCTTTCTATTAAAAATTCATCGCAAACTCTCAGGAGCTCGGCGCTCAGTAGGGCCAGGCGGGTGTCTGGATCTGTTTTGTAGCTCAGGGAAGGGGATCTGAGAGCAGCACGCAGGGAGGGAGCGTGCAATTCATTCATAAATCAAACAGCAGATGCTGGGGCCAAAGGGGTGCACGGCGGTGACAATTTTTAACCCCTGAGTGTCCYTGCTCCAGCGGGATCCCGCGGGGCRGTTCCGGGCTCTGGGGGCTCCTGCGGGAGGAAGCTGAGGGGCTCGGGGGGCGCGGAATGAGGGCAAAGTCGGGGAAACAGAAGGCAGCGCTGCCCCAGCCATAAATCAGGGAAGCCTTGTCTGGGCAGGGAGAAGCTGCCGTGAAAATTCCAGCGGGGCTGCCCCAGCTCTGCTTGGGATCCCTGCCCGGCACCCCAAAGCMGCGGCTGAGGCGGGATCCTGACCCAGGACACCCAAAAACCCCACAGGAGCAGCAGCGGCCCGGTTCCACCTCGCTGTGTGCTCATCCCGGTTTGCTCGGGGCAGCGGGAGGAGGAGCAGGAGGAAGGTTTGAGCCGCAGTTCCAGCTCCTGGCGTGGAATGCTGTCAGCAGGGAAAATCAGTTTGCGATTCGCACCCCGGCCAGGTTCATTCAGCATCGTTTGAATGGCTACGAAAGGCTGAGGTGGAAAAGCCACCGGTGACAGTCCCAGCTGTCCCCACCTGATCCCTGCTGGTTTTGTCACCTGCCCTGTCCCCAGGGACACCCACACCTGCACCCTCGGGTGCTCGGGATGGGAGCAGGACACCCAAACCCGCCCCGGGGTGGCTCAGGTGGATACGGGAACAACCCCGCTGCCCTCGGGGGATTTGTCACCTCCCGGGACATCCCTCTGTCCCCGGGCCGCCAGTGCGACACAAACGACTCGGGACGGATGAGATTTCAAAAGCTGCGAAGAGACTCGGGAGCACGAGTGCGATTGACGTGAATGCTGCGGCTGTGAAGTCACGAAAGTGCCATTCTTCATTGTCCGGGGTCTCGGCTTTCCCCTCCCTTCCCTCGGCAGCCCCACGACGAGGAGCACGCTCGGGGCTCACATCCTCTGTGCTATTGATAGCACGGCCGCGTTTTTTGGGAGCGTGGGTCCCATCTGCCACTTCCACTCCYTTTTTAAAAGATCCTAATGACTGTCAGATCCTCTTAGTTCTTAATTAATTTCAGAGTTCAACTGCAAATAGGAAACAAGGCAGCTTTTGCCCTTACGCATATGAATATTACTGTTCCATTTAATGTGGTTATGGGTGGAATGCTGTTATTCATTCCTGCCTGCAATAAAAGCCACATGTTTTTAAAACTTTGCACTTGAAAAAAACTTTTAGGAAAGAAATCAAGTATGTTTTGTATGCATGGCATGAGATAAAAACTGGTCATAAATATTCAAAGAACAGTTCGAGCTTTATGCTTGATTTAAACAAGTGAACAGAGGAGTGCGACGGTTGGGGCGAGAGCAGAATTAAAGCCCGACACTCCTTGGAGAATGTGCTCAGGCAGAGCAAAGGAGCCATTCATGCAAAGGTTATGGAGCACCTAAGGACAGCCCATCTCCTCCAAAAATGCCCAGAGGTGCGGGAGAGCTGGGCTTTGTTCAGAGCTGCTCGGGTTGATGGGAGTTGCTTTTTTTTTTTTTTTTTTTGGAGGAGTTTTAGGGAGGGGTGACGCCTCCTCTGTCAGATCCTGCAAAGAACGAGGGTTCTCCTTGCTGGAGACACCTCCAGAGTGTTCATTCCTGATGGGAAACATCTCACGGGGTTCCTGAGAGCTCTGGAGAGCCCTTCCCTGGAGCCCAGCACAGAGAACCGGGTTCCTGTCCCACGGCGGTGCCACCAGAGCCCGGGCTGCTGCCAGACCCCCCAAAAAAACCCCAAAACGCGACAGGGGGAGAAATTAAAAAAAAATTCCAAAGGAAAGAAAAAGGGGAAACGTCTGGATGGCGAAAAGAGGAAGCGAAAGGCACATGACGGCGAGAAAAGCAGAAAAAGCCGCAGGAAAAAAAAAATTAAAAAGACAAAAAAAAAAAACCAAAAAAAAACGGGGTTTGATTTGTGATGGCAGAAGAGACGCTGGGAGCAGCCCTGTCACGGAAAGGCTCCCGGGCACAGCTCCAAGGCGCAGGGAAATCCTCCCGCACGTGCTGAGCGAGGCGCTGCTGCCGCAGGAAAACGCTGCAGATTCGCCTGGGGGAATGGTGGTGYTGGGGTAAAACCGGACCCAGCGCTCTGTGGGGTGGGAATTCAAACTCCTGCCCCAAAACTGCGCTGCTGCTGCTCAAAGAGAGGTTTTTTTTGTGTGTTTCTTACAGCCTAGCCCGGAATTTTGGGATGATTTGGGTGTCAGCAGGTGGCTCCTGTGCTATGCTGGGTTTGTGGGGCTGCAGGATCTTGTAGGATCCGTGGGAAGGGTTTGGCTCCCACACCCCAAACAGCGCCAGGGCTGAGCCTGAACCCCACGGGGGCGGGGGAGGCTCTGGAAAGTTCCTTTTGGGAAAAAGGTGAACGCGAGCAGATAAAGTGACCCTTGGGGACACAACCTCAGAGCAAACCCCGGCCCAAAATCTGCAGGGTCTGTCCCTGCGTGTCCCTTCTGTGGGGACAGGAGGGTCAGTGACCCCACAAAGGGGTGGCAGCTGCCGTCAGACAGGGAACTCCAATTTCCCGTTTGCCTCGGGTCTCGCAGAGGTCACGTCTCGGCAGAAGCAGCTCCTGAGACCTGACAAACTCAGCCCRGTTCTGCTGAATTCCTCTGCGGGACACCAGAATGGCAAAAAGGGACCCGGGCTGGTCACCCTGGGCCACCCACGGGTCCCAGACAAACTTTTCAAGCGTCTCTCATCCGGCTCCTCCTCCACACGAGGGTTTTCTCCCCTCCTGTCTGCGGGCAGAGGGGTCTGCAGAGCTCAGAGTTGTTCTCCAACCCTAAAAAAACGCTCAAAGTGAGGTGTTGGAAGGGAAATGTCAGAGATGGGAAGAGCAGGATGCTCCAAGGAGCATCACAGGCTCCTGGAGA